CGTGTAAACATTCAAATATTACCGAAAGTATGAAGACCAAGATAGTGTGGTCTTTTGTGTGGTCGCAGTCCCCTTTCGTTGTATAGAAGTAGTTTGATCTCGCTTTCGCAACTTGCTCATATTGTTAGGAAGACTTAGAGGAACGAACCTACTTTGGAGTCCATTGTAGGCATCATCATTTCCAGAGTCGGACCGTGGATGTGGTACATTCCCAGACGCTTAGCCGGCATCGTCAGGGAGTATTGCCAGTCTTAGCACCACACTGCAATTCTTCAAAAGGACAAGTGAAGTCGAACACTTGACCAATTGTCTGATAAAGAATCGTGATATATCTTCTTTCGCCCTGGGATAATCACCAATCCTATATCCTCGTACCACGCCTTCAATATCACAATTAATTTTTTACTTGCTTATTTAAATTCGGTATGGTGTGCCATTTTGAGAGGATTTCATGGGAACTGTTCACACTCCAGGGTGGCTTTTTTACTCCCTCACCCCCTTCACTTTTATGCTGGGAATATTAATCCGAATCTGCCCTATTGTTACTCTATTGTCCTATGACCAAGTTGTGAAAACAAGGTCAAACTTATTCTATTCAAATATTATGTTCAAATGTGCAAAGTATTCGTCTATCGTATTTACAGATAAACTAATTAAGGTCGCAGGTTTATTTTTCTCATTAAATAATATCGTGGCCTGCACACATAATACAAGAAAGGAAATGTTGCAAAGAAGACTCTATGGTAATTGGGAAAGTTCACGTTTATTAGCGAGAATTATTTCGAGATTTATTTTTTTACTTATTTAATAAAGATTGAGACTCCTAATTCGACACGTCCACCTGTCACTTGTTATCGCACATGTCAAACCAGAAAGTGAGTAGCCATGGAAATATATTATACATACTCGGTAATGGAGAAATGGGACAGCTCCATCTGCAGTTACATTGGGCTCCTGCCAGCGAACAATAATGGCCTGCAAAGGGGTCGTTGAAATTCCAGATGTTCCCAGAAGCACCGGATAGGCCAGCTGCCTCGTAAGAGCTGCTGGAGCAGGGTAACACGAAAGTTGAGTCACCTTAAAGCCAACGGGTCCAGTTTTTTCGGATGCACCCAGACCTGTTGGCACTGCGAGTTGCACTTTGACGGGTTCTGACCAGACACCCTCTTGTCCACCGGGACCGATGGAAGCGACTCGTACCTCAGTATAGTCAGTTGGTTGGTACAAGAAGGATCGAAGACCAGGAGAGTCAGCCGTAGGCAGATCCTGGGCAAAAGGAAGAACACCAAAGGGAGTAATAGGTATCAAGCGTAAATCTAAAACTGTTAATGTCATGCAAAAAATAATAAAATGCTGTGTGATGTGCTATACGACAGTACGAGACGGTAAGATAACCTAACGTGCAGATTGTAAATAATAGAGTAAATCTCTATTTGTCCGATATTATATCCACAAAAAGATGTAATATTTGGAGAAAAAATACATTTCTTTATTTTTCAGACGATGATAAAATAAGCTAT